AGTATATATTGTTACTAAACACAAAAGAGCTCAAAACATCAAAATAAGAAAATACCGTAAATAAAAAAAAAGTTTACTGTTATTTAGTTTGGTTCAAAACCTACAAAATCTTCATTACTTTCACTGTAATTTATTTTTTTATTATTTAGGGAGCATTATAAATAGTTATGTTTTTAAAAGGTAACAACAGACTGTTTTGTTGGTTTATATATATATATATATATACCGTATTTTTCGGTGTATGAGACGCACTTTTTTACCCCAAAATTTCATGTCAAAATCTGTTTGCGTCCTATACATCGAAGGTATGAATAATATAAATGTATATATACGATATAAATAAGCCATGTGTAAATATATTTAAATAGGCATGCATAGCTTAGTTCAATTGAATCCGTTATTTATAACAATAGTAGTTTTTTACCTAAACAACTGACACACTGAAAGACGTAACAGTATATATTCTATATTTGACTATTCTAGTCTTGAAAGAGCTTTTAAGACGTGTTACCATACCTCTTGTATGTGATTATTCGAATCCACAGAATCAGAACACACACCATAGCACAAATAGGTAATTTAATTAACTCAAATATTAGGTAAAGCCCACAAAACAACTACAAAAAACAAAACATTTCATTAAGTTCAAATGTTTTGTTTACCGTTACTATGTTGGTAATACATATTATCTATGTTTTTAAAATATTTATTTTTACAACTCCATAACTTTAATGAAGACTATGAACAGGTATGGAAAATGTTTTACTAATAACCCTAATAGTTTGGGCTTCGATTATAACCCACTTCATGTCAAGACAGCAATGGTAAATTGATTTGCACCTTCACTGGCAATGTTTAATGCATAATTTATACTGGAGGATGTTACATACAATAAATGTATTGTGTTTTAAATTAACATTGTTTATATTTGTTCGCGTGCATTAAAAGACAGAAAGATAAACTGTCAAGCTGAGTAAGAAGTAAAGTTTCTATGAAATATATTAGACCTATTGGGCCTATTATTTGATGCAGTACTGATGTTAGAGATTGTTACAATTCAAGAAGCAATGCTATCCGTCTTAACGAAAAGAATACCGAATAATATTTTCCTAAAATCAAAGTTTAAACCTTTTCTTTTTTTTGTTATTAACAAATTAATTAAATATATTGTTGTAAACTATATCTATAATGCTGTAATTTCGTTTCTAACTAGAGAGAGCTGCAGGTCGTAATGATGACGTTGGACCAAAAAGTTTAATTTTTTCGGCCTAGAAAGTCCTAAAGATATTACTTCAATCCTTTAGAGATTTTAGGCCTATATTATTAAACCTTTATACCTTAACATCGTCATTACAATATTAAAAATATAGTTTAAACAATATTTATTAGGTACTTTAAATGCTGCTGAATGAACAGAAATTATGATTTTATGAAGAACAGGTGCTAGAAACGTGAACACTGCTACAATTTGAATTACTAAGACCAGTATAAGATTTCGTTAACCAATCCGTTTCCGTCATGTCTCATTTTTATGATCCGATTTCCTGATAGGTGAGAATATTACCTATTTTACAGTTCATCAGATATTACACTTCAATATACACAAGTTGTCCAAAAGTCGTACAGTTCATCAAAGATTACACTTCAATATAAACAAGTTATCCAAAAGTCGTACAGTTCATCAAAGATTACACTTCAGTATAAACAAGTTCTCCAAAAGTCGTACAGTTCATCAAATATTACACTTCAATATAAACAAGTTATCCAAAAGTCGTACAGTTCATCAAAGATTACATTTCAATATACACAAGTTATCCAAAAGTCTATACCAATGTCAGAATGTATTAACTAGAATCCTCAAAAGATTAATAATACAGAACATTGTTGTTGTATTTACAATATTATTATATTGGTTGTTTTACCTTATTGGAACGTAAGGCGACTTTGCCACCACAGCGAGCACAGCAACGCACGCTGCAATAATAACATACGTGACCCACACCGTCCGCAAACTTGGTCTTGAGACAAAGCTCACACGTGGCCTCGAGCGTCAAGCCCATCTTCTTCTGGTCTTCGGCACGTTTCTTAATGGTCGACTCCAGTATATTCACTTCCTCTTGTTTCCTCCTGGAAATACAAACAGCAAAAACAATAGAATTATTTGTCCAACGTAATAACACGCCGACGAAAAACGCGAACTTTCATAATTACCAAACAACTGGAAGATCATGCATTATCAATCACGCATGTTTCATTCTGAGAAGTGCTGTTTTTGTTTAGTTATATTTGAACCCGTAAACTTTGCAAAATTGCACTGTTTTCGTTTCCTAAACAAATATACAACTTTTATTTAACAGATAAATAGATGGTATACATGAAACTGTACCCCTCACTTTCATTCTATCCTTTATAACGTGCATAAACTTTGAGAACTGGAAATAGATTTCTATCCTGTTATCGATCAGCTAAATACTATAATAAAGCAGTCTGAATCTTCATAATTGTTATATAATAATTTACCAGTTATTTTCTCATTTTACATTCCAGACGCCACTGTAGTGGTTGCTATGGGAACAAAAACATTTACGTCCGGCAAAAAGTTTGGCGTGTTTTAAAGAGTACAAATGAAGCACGTTTTAAATTTTCCGTTGTTGTTCTTATCGTGATAAATTTCTATAATTACGATGCCTCACCAAAATTTTTTAAAATGATATAAAACCTTTGTGATAAACACAATTCTGAAACTCATAGCCATATCGATATATCTTATTTCTTTAAGTGTAGGCCCGCCTTGGCCAGGTGGTTAGGGCGCTCGACTCGCAATCTGAGTGTTCGAATCCCCGTCACACCAAACCCTTTCAGCCGTGGGGACGTTATAATGTGACGGTCAATCCCACTATTCGTTGGTAAAAGAGTAGCCCAAGAGTTGGCGTTGGGTGATGATGACTAGTTGCCTCTAGTCTTACACTGCTAAATTAGGGACGGCTAGACTAAAATCTATAACCAGGTGTGTGCCATGACATAAAGCATCTGTCCGAACATAGAACTGAAGCCACTAAAATCTACACCCGCGCGTGTGCCATGACATAAAGCATCTGTCCGAACATAGAACTGAAGCCATTAAAAATCTATAACCAGGTTTGTGCCATGACATAAAGCATCTGTTCGAACGTAGAACTGAAGCCACTATAATCTACAGTGGCTTCAGTTCTACGTTCGAACAGATGCTTTATGTCATGGCACAAATCCGGTTATAGATTTTTAATGGCTTCAGTTCTATGTTCGAACAGATGTTTTATGTCATGGCACAAACGCAGTTATAGATTTTAGTGGCTTCAGTTCTATGTTCGAAAATCTACAACCGCGCGTGTGTCATGACATGAAGCATCTCTTCGAACATAGAACTGAAGCCATTAAAAATCTATAACCGGGTTTGTGCCATGACATAAAGAATCTGTTCGAACATAGAACTGAAGCCACTAAAATCTATAACCGCGTTTGTGCCATGACATAAAGCCTCTGTTCGAACATTGAACTGAAGCCATTAAAATGTATAACCACGTTTGTGCCATGACATAAAGCATCTGTCCGAACATAGAACTGAAGCCACTAAAATCTATAACCGGGTGTGTGCCATGACATAATGCATCTGTCCGAACATGGAACTGAAGCCACTAAAATCTATAACCGCGTTTGTGCCATGACATAAAGCATCTGTCCGAACATAGAACTGAAGCCACTAAAATCCATAACCGCGTGTGTGCCATGACATAAAGCATCTTGTTGAACATTATGTAAAATTACATCGATAACGACCAGAGGTGTCGCCAGGCATGTTGATGCCTTGAAAAATCAGAATACAAAACCATAATCGATATCATACTGAAACGCCGAAAATTCCAGCGCCTGTGGGTTCGAGTCCCGAATTTTTTAAGCACCTAGCAATGTCTCTGTTAACGGTAACCCCCGATGCTTATTTAAATTACATTTATAAATATTTATTTGTTTCTTGTTAAGCGCAAATCAGAAATGAGTCACATGACTACAGTAAATGGAAGAGACAACTCGAGCGAAACTACAGACAGGAAAATAGTAAATAAATGAGAAAATTCGAGATAATTCAGACATGACTACAGTAAATGCGAGAGAAAAACTCGAGCCAAGTCACAGATATAACTACAGTAAATAGATAAGAAACCTCTAGCCATATCAGACAGGACTACAGTAAATAGTTGAGAAAAATTTTCTCTTCCATTTACTGTAGTCCTGTCTGATTTGGTTCGAGTTTTCTCTTCTATTTACTGTAGTCCTGTTTGATTTGTCTCAACGTCAAACCAAATTAGACATGACTACAGTAAATAGAAGAGAAAACTCGAACCAAATCAGACATGACTACAGTAAATAGATATGAAAAGTCAAACCAAATCACGGACAGAACTACAGTAAATGGAAGAGAAAACTCGATCCAAATCAGACAGGACTACACAAAATGGAAAATAAAACTCGATCCAAATCAGACAGGACTACACAAAATGGAAAATAAAACTCGATCCAAATAAGACAGGACTACAGTAAATGGAAGAGAAAACTCGAGCCAAATCAGACAGGATTACAGCGTTTTCAGCAGACTGTTAGTTAATTAATATTTCCATCTTGGGTGATTGGGAGACGTACAGAAAACAACGTAACGTTTAAATCTCTTGGTGGAACTTTCATTCTTATGTGTATACAATGTTAACATACTTAATGCCCCTACTAGACTATGAATATTTGACAAATATTGAAAGTCCAGTAGTCCAGAAACTATCTCACGTCCTTGTTCTTCAAGTCCCACATACATCAGAACCCTGCTGTTAATCATATTAGAGTCGTTGATTTTTCTATTTTGAAGTTGTGGTCAGAAAACATAAGCGCCATCTACAATATATCCCGACCTGATTTATATTTCCCAACTAGCTTCAATATATTAGAATACAGTCGCGAGTTGTCCCTTTGGTAAAACTCTGGATTTCGGAGATGGTTATCCGAGTTCGAAGCCGTGCGATACCACAAAATATCCCCCGCACTTTAAGCTGTGGTTGCGTTATAACAGTATGACAGTAAATTACTTAGCGTGGATGGTAGTTGGTGTTAACTGGTTTCTGTCCGTCAGGACAGTTTATTACATTGGCGTCTTTCCTTATTCATTCAGCATATGATAAAGAATTTACAATTTTTTTTTTATCCTCTTCACAATTTCACACTACTTATTACATTTTATATTCTATACTAATAAAAGTCGCCAAGTTTATTAGCAGCTTTATTTAAAATTTCCAGATACCTGCCTTGTAGCTTACTATATAAAAAGATACCGACGCGGTCCATGCAAATATTCCCTGAGCCCTGACACAGTGTGATCGAGGTCAATCTATTGCCACCTCCAGGTAGTACCGGCAGTAGGTCATCAAAGCGACTGACACAGTCTGCAGATATTCCCTGAGCGCTGACACAGTGTGATCGGGGTCAATCTATTGCCACCTCCCGGTAGTACCGGCAGTAGGTCATCAAAGCGACTGATACAGTCTTGCAGACATTCCATGAGGCAGCGTGGTCTGGGTCAACCAAAATTTACTATTATAGAGTATATATATATATATATAGCTGTAAGTCTTGCAGTATGGCTTAATCTAACCTTACAAATAACAAACCCATCAAATCTGACTGTGGGAGCTTGCCTATTCTCTTGACTGTAATGAGCGTGATAAAGAAGTAAGGTTGAGTTAATCGCTTAAAAATTACACTCATACAAATAACTCGTTCTTTTTTTCTTAATGTGATTCGACCAACTGTTTGTAATGTTAACCAGACAACATTTGAGCACGTGCACAATTGACTCGGTAGAGGTCATGGCGTGTTAGGAAGTCATTTACATTGCATAGAGGTGAGGGGCTGTCAGAAAGTCAAGTTGTATTCAAAAAGAGGCTGAGCGTGGCCTAGTGGTTACTTTCCTAGGATTCTAAACAGGTGGTCCAAGGTTCGAGCCACGGTAAGTCGCTGATCATACTCTTCGCTTTCAGCTGTGAGAGTGTTAACTGAGAATTCAATATTTATATTTGGTAACGAGTTGTCGCATAGGCGGCGGTGCTTTTAACTTACTGCTTTCCTTCTAGCTTGAAGCCCCCCAGTGGCACAGCGGTATGTCTGCGGTCTTACATTAGAAACCGAATTTCGATACCCGTGGTGGGCAGAGCACAGATAGCCCATTCTGTAGCTTTGTGCTCAATTACAAACAAACAAAATCTAGCTTCAACTTATGGGTCTCTGACCATGTGTTGCATAGTAGTGTTCTGGTTGAAAATTAAACATATATTTGAAAGATGGTATTATTTATGTGATTCTTTTAAATAAGTTATTTGTTATATATTGTTACGTCTCCGTTTGTTAATTAACTTCCCGTAACTTCGTTCCGACGAAACTTTAGCGACACAAGTATTTACTTAATAAAACTGGTTTATTCTTTCCGAATGTAACTCTGCGATACACTTAATCTCAATATTCGCGCTAAAACAAACAGTATCACGAACGAACGAACGTTAACTTCAACAATACCCTGTGACTGCAGTTCAATTACTCACTGTCTATACACACATTACATTACCGCGTCACGTTGTACCCCTCTTATATATACCAGCCTACCCTATCTAGTAAATACTAGAGCATTCGCCAAAGTACAGGATAGTTCTAGAACGTGGCGTCACAGTAGTCATGTGACTCGCTGACGCAACAATATATATATACTGCAACCACTAAAAAACGTAAGTAGTTCTAGCGC